GTCTGCTTGACTTTTAAATTACGAACATCTTAATAATTATGTACAGATGTAGGAGTTACCGATTGTCAATTGTTATTTCTTAAAATATATATTTTATGATATAATCAATCATATCTCGTTTGAAATTAGATGAACATTTATTGAATAGTCATATGAATACAAAGAAAATAGAATTCATTAGTCGACATACGTTTGCTAGGTCAGAAAATTACAATAATTGACTCGTTCAAGTACCTCCGTTACACTTGGACTAATAAGCTATCAATGAGTCCTACCGTAAACAGAAGCCTCGAGAACATCCAAAGGTCTTTCTGTAAGCTGAAGTGGCTGCGATTCGAAAAAAATTTTCCCAAAGACGTTGTGAGAAGTTGTTTTTTCGCTTATACATTTCCCCATTTCTCTTCGATCTTCTCCTTCTTTCCCTTCCTTTCACCAACTCATCAAGAAGCACTTAGAACAAAGTTTAGAGTTGCAATACGTTTAGTTCATCGTGCCGCATTTGTACGCGCAGCAGATCTTACTACATTTACTCGAGAAGAATTGCTTGATAATTATGTCAAACGCTATATCTCGAGAAGATTGAAAAAGATATATTCTTCCGATTTAGGCTTCTCATTATTTCTAGAAGATGTCTTTTATTGGGATAATTATTGTAAGCAAGCCAATGACGGCACGGTTCATCTTTTCTTGTTGAAACGTGTTAAACGTTTCAGATCAAAACATCGCTCGTTCCTATTGGATTGGTTAGAATTCTCTGACCTTAGTGATAATAGAAGAACAGGAAAGAACGGACGTGCAAAGCTGCTAGTCCTTTGACCTCTCTCCTTATACCAAACATTTACCTTATCTGTTACATGTTCTTCTCTATCCGTCTCACTGTCATTGTTTATTCGTTCTTTTGCTATATTACCCCCTTTAGTGTTCCCTATCTTTTCATTCTTTTCTTTTCCTTTTACTGCTCTTGTACTATGTTCATTGTAAGCACTTCCGAGTGTCACAATAAAACGAGCAAAAACCAAAAAAAAATGAATATAACGAAAATAGAAGTCATCTTTTTCTATATCCATTGATTAATGTAATATTTCAATTATTACAGATTACTAAATAGAATTAATTGTCTCTATAGAAAACTAAACTGTAACATAAGAAATAAAAGGTCTATTTGGATTAAATTGTAAAACAGTTATCTAAATAGAAACAGTTTTCAATTAAGTTGATATAAATGATTATACTTTAATATTATAAAAGAAATTTCTTAATAATGTTGTTTTTCATTCTATAGGATGATATACCTAATCTAAAGTGTTTTTCATTAATACATTATGGTTTAATTGAAGAATGTGATAATAAAATTGTATCTCATCTTCGTCGTATGATAAACTTGGAAAAATTAACTTTGTATTTGCGTCTCGTTTTCGAACGTATATTCATTGATCCAATTTATCTCATAAATGAATTTTCAATGCATATGTCACGACTTCATTCATTCAAGTTTTATATTAGTACAAAGAATAACAGAAATGATTTAGTTCGTTATTTGTCCAATAATGATATTAAACAAAATTATGTGAACATAGGATATCAAGAAGTATCGAATATTGTTCAATTTGTTGCTAACACAGCTACATATCATGTCTTTACACTTCCTTTCCAGTTTTCCCAGCTCATATATATTGGAAATATATTTCCAAATATTTTATTCACTCATGTCATCGACTTATGTGTACATGATGAGTTTCCATTTGAACATGAATTCTTTCTACGAATAAGTAAAGCTTTTCCAAAGCTTAAAAGGTTCTGTGTAATGAATAGTAGACCACTATCATATGATGTGGAGAAATTATCTGACAACACTGTTCAACCATATAAAATCGTTGAATATCCTCATCTTACTTTCCTTGATATTTCACGGGCAAATGGTTATTACGTCGAACAGTTTCTAAATGAAACCAAAACACATCTACCTCGTCTGTCCAAATTACGGGTTCGATATGAAGAATTAAGCATTATTACAAAAGATTTTACACGAGAAATAACACGACGTAATTGTGCTAATGTAACACGATTAATTATTGAAAGAACAATTGTCGGTTCGAAAGACTATTACATTTATTTTCCTTTATTGTAGATTGATAATTATTGTAACTTTTGGAATCAGAATTAGGAAATAAAACACAATTGTTTCGTTTGCAACAAACAATAGAATAAACGAAAATGAAAAAGAGAAGAAAAAATATTTTTTGTTGTTTTTTATTTGTTTAAAAACAATCCTACAAGCATGTTCATCCTTAACGAAACAGATGAGTATTTCACTAAATTGCAACAAAAAAGTAATATATATTGATCGAGTAGGAGTAGCAGCTAATAAAAGAACCAGCAAGACCTATTGATATGATTATGGATGAGTATTAACCGAGTAAATCAGCAGGTAATAAAAAGAACGAATAACGAGCAAGACCGGCAAGTGGCCATTCGTAAAATACACGAACACTTCCCAAGGAGACACAAACTCGGCTAGTTATATAAAGTGGCGCGAAAATGTTTAAGGCACTTTTCGATATCCAAATAGCGATTTCGACAGCTCTCAGAACGAGCTATAGATCTGAAATGATAAAAAAATTTAAGCTTGGTTATCTCAATTTTTATAACATAAATTATTTTTGCCTAGTGGAAAAAATTTAAGATACTTCTAATATTTGATTAAATATTTCCTATTTAACAGTTATTAAAAATCTTTCTAAATATCATTCAATATAGAATTCAACGAGCTATATTTTGGTAAGAAATAGTTTTTCAATGTCATTATTACTAATTAGTTTTTTTAATATTAATTAAGTAGAACAGAAAAATTTGAAGGTGAGTATGGGTATGAGTGTGAGTGAGGGTTATGGTACTTTAATGAGATTACACCTACACCCACCCACATGATGAACCGCTTAGTTCAACAGTACAAACTCTTCCATTGTTACGTCTATTTATATAGGTAGATAGAATTCGATGAGTTGTACTAATAGAAACCTACAAACTTCTCTTTCGAACAGATCCAGAAATATATTTCAATGATACAAGTCAAAGGACGAGAGTGAATATGTTAGTAAATCGATCTATTCGAAAATCTATAAGAAAACTACCGCTAATTATATCTGTATATATAAAGAAGAATGTTTGTCTGTGCCTGTCTGTCTGTTTGTTTGTTTGTTTGTTTGTTTGTTCTTCATGCATTTGGTCACCGTACGAGCAAATGCGCTGAAATTTTGCAGAGGATACCCTTTTGTCCAGGGAAGATCAAAACGGGGTCAGCACCTCCTCCCAGTGTGAGAAGGTTCTCCCCAGTTTTTTTAATGTTCTGGGGGTGTGGGCGTGGGTGTGAGTGAGGGCTGAAAGAAGAATGACACCCACACCCACAGCGACACCCACATCCACGCCCACACCCACACCCATACCCACACTCACCCACACCCACACCCTTTTCTTCTGATATGGTACTTGATCGATTTTGTTCACAGATTTTACCTGAAATTCATATAAAAATTAAATGGCTAGATCTTCAATCATCATTTATGAAAAGTATTCTACATGTCGCCGATTATCCTAATTTATATGGACTCGATTTATATGATATCGAAGAAGAGACAGCTAAATGTCTTTTTACTGGTAAGGAAATCTGAATAGAATTATTTTAATTCTAAACAGAGAAAAGATATACATACTTTGAAATTATTAGTAAACATGAATACATGATTGAATATATTAAATAAATTTCATTTCTAATTTATGTTTAACTATCAAATGTTAAAAGAAAAAAGAGTCGTAAATACAAATTAATATAGAGATAAATAAAATAGAGGGTGAGTGTGAGTGTCGGTATGAGTGTTCGCGATGAGAAGATATCAACGCCTACACTCGCATTTACATGGATACCCACACCTTTTTGCACGCTGATTCCGAATATGCACTTTGTTCAGTGATTCGACTTCAATGAAGTATCAAAAAAATCTCGAAAATCGCTGAAAATGCTACTTTTGGACTCCAGAAGAAAGGCCTGTAACTCTCTAACGGTAAAAGCTAGAAAGCTGGAATTGGTGGCAAACGATAGATAATTGTCTGCTTTATTAAATCTATAAAAAATAAATCAATGCCAAAGCGGTTACGGACGCTCAGCAAAGTTGCTGCGAATTTCGTACACAGGTGACCTCGAATTTTGAAGCGAAATCGTTTTGTTCATATTTTCATTTAAAGTTACTACCCCTATATTCAAAAATGAAAAGCGAAGCTTTCTAGCTACTTCGTAGCCCGAGTTATTTAATTTGCAATGGAGTGCACTGTTCATTGAAATGAATATTAGATCGAATCTAAAATGATCAAATATAACCAATAATTCAGTACGAAGATGAATAGTGCTCTTTTACGGCACGAAGATAAGATGGATACAAACATAAAACAGTCTTCAGATAAGTAAATGTTCGCCAAAACATAGAAATCTATTTTTTCAATGTGTTTCCGTAAAAACGATGATGTTCCACTTATAATGCAATTATTTTACACATTCCTTCTTGATTATTGTTCCAATATGTTTAGCTACATTTAAATCAGGTGAAATGAGTGTCGACTATTTTGTGATACTTATCATTTTAAATCAGATTTAGTTTGAACTGCTTCATCAAATGAATTTTTCTATACCGTTGTGCCGTAAAATTTTAGGAATTTTCTGAATTCGACACTAAATATTTTCATAATCCTTCCTATTTAAAACTACTAACAAATTTCTTTTAATGCGCTTTAATTTAGAATAAAATTTGTTATAAATGCTATTTGGAATCACAGTGTTACTCTTCTGAAAAAAACATTTTTATGTACTCTGTACCTTTCTAACCTTAAAATATTTTAAAATAATTCTTCTAAAATGATCATACGAATAGATGAAATTCTATTTAATGCAGATTTATTTCATAATAAAAAATACAAAATAAAAAGAATGTTCTCTTTAGAAAAACTGAATGTTATTTGTTGTTAAATGTTGATGCTTGCCAATATTTGTTGTGAGCTTTTGATTCTTTTTCACCTGTCTGTTTGTCTGTTAATATTTCTTTAATAGTTTGTTCTAAACTTTTTGGTTTTCGTCCCGATAAATTTTCTAAAGTAGAATAAACTCTTCCTAATTCTCCACGTTGTAAAGCTGGATAAGTTGTTGCCCAAAGTCGAATCCAATATTCATCTTTACCATTCAAATATTGGTTAGTATATTCTTCTGATGAAACAAAGCGTAATGGAATATTACAACCTAAGATTTTTGATACAAATAAAGCTATTTCTTTCAATGTATAAGCTTTTGAACCAGTTAAGAAAATTGTTTTATTTTCATATTTATTTGCTGATGCTAAGATTTTTGCTGTTCCTTCACCTAAATCGTCTCTTCCAGCAAAACTAATACCACCATCAGCCGGCACAACTATTTCAGTTGTTGTCCAAGCATCGCAACATCCAATAAAACTTTGAAACATTTCTGAATAGATTCCTTCGCGAATAATTGTATATTTGAGACCTGACGCTTTAATTAAATCTTCCATATCTAAAGGTGCTATCATTATTTGTGTTTCTCGAGTATCACCACATGCCAAACTTGTATATAATATATGCTTAATACCGACGTTTTTTGCTGCGTCAATAGCATTTCGATGTTCTTCTGTTCGTTTCTCATGAATCATTGTTGTTGATGAAACAAGAAATAAAATTTCTGCAACTTGAAACGCTTTTTCAAGAGTTTCTTGTCGCTTATAATCACCATGACGCACATCGAAAACAATTTTCGCTAATTCAGGATCAGGATCTTTTGGATTATAAACAGATAATATTATTTCTTTAGGATTGACGCCAAGTCCAAATAAATGTCGTAAAACACTTGAACCAAGTTCACCAGTTGAACCCGTCAGAACAATTTTAACCATTATTTTCTACAAAACCTTTAATTCGCTGTGATGATCAACAAATCCTTCTATACTTTTTTCTCTTTATTGTTTCATATATATATATATATATTAAGGTAGATACGCTTCATTCTTATTTACATCATCATTCCGTTGTAATTTTTTTTGTTTCGTTCTGCTGCGTAAGTAGAGGAGACAGTGTGCATATGCTGTCGTTATTTATATCAATATGATGTTGCATTTTATTTGCATACATACTTTCTACCTCTCTTTTGAGAAGGATCGATACATCTCATTAGTTTTTTTTATTAGGCTTTGTATAGAATAAAACTTAATTTGTGAGAATGTATTAAAACATCGCCAGTTGTTGAAATTAATCATACAAAAACAAAGAAAGAAAGGAAAAGTCATATACAGATTATCATACATCGAACGATTAAAAAATTCCAATCAAGAAATGAGTGATATCATTAGAGATAGAAAGAAGCAAAACTACAGACATTTAACAACAGAAAAATTACCTTACAACAAGAAACTATAAGAGAAGATCACGTGACCAAATTTTAAAGAAACTGCTGCAACTCCAGGTCAATCATGCTCGCCCGTAAACGGCCGTTTACTAACCAAATACGGCGAATAACAGCGACTGTTTACGTTAGCTATTTACGTCAGCCGGTGTGGGCGTGGGGTGTGGGTGTGGATGGGTGTGGGTGGGGGTGGGGGTGTGAACGGGTGTGGGTGTGAGTGGGGTAGGGTGGATGTGGGTGTGGGTGGGGGTGGGGGTGGGGTGGGGTGGATGTGGGTGTGAGTGGGGTGGGGTGGATGTGGGTGGGTGAGTGGGAGTGTGTGTGGCTGTGAATGTGAGTGTAGATCGCTACAAGATAAACAGCCAGAGTTATACCTACACCCACACCCCACCCCCACACTTACACCCACACCCCACCCCCACACTTACACCCACCCCACACCCATAGATATATCATCTTGCCTATACTCTTGCGAGAATATCATTGTACCTATATCCTCAACGATATGTATCATTCTGCCTATACTCATTTTGAATATATCATTTTACCGATATCCTCATAAGTATATCATTCTTCCTATACTGTTGGGACTCTATCACTGTACCTACACGGGTGTGAGTGTGCGGATGGCTGTTCTTCTCGTTCACACGCACACGCACACGCACACCCACCCACACCCACACCCACACACTCACACCCACACCCACACCCACACACTCACACCCACACCCACACCTACCCACACCCACACCCACCCACACGCACCCACACCCCACACGCACACGCACACGCACACCCCACACTCACACCCACAGTTATGTTTGATTATATTGAATTGAAAGTTATTGAATGACGCATTTTTATTTGGTTTTATGACACAATCTCACTCGCTGGTCAACCTATCGTTTGTGATAGTCCCGAAGCAGCCAGACTAGTTATATAAGCAGTATATTCTGCCTGTCGATTTCGTGTCTTTTCAAGATAAATACTATGTCGTTCTTGTGCCATTTGTGTGATCTTCAATGATGTAGTGATTGTCTTGTTGGATGCTTGTTGAAGATGAGCTTTGCGTGCTTCATCTGTTTGTAAAGTTAACAATTGACTAATGCCTGCTATTTGATCAATCATATGTTCACTAGAAACTGCATAGTAAGTTTTGGCCATAGTAAATAATAAATGAGCACCACTTTCAATTGTTGTTGCGGCCGGTATCAACATTTCAGTGAAGAATTCTCGATCAATCGGATCGACCAATAAGTTGTCGGTTTGGGCTATTTGAATGACTTCGACGAAATCTTTGACAACGATCTATGTAACGAGAGCAACTCTTGATCGTAGTGACGGTTTGCAGAAAAATGAAACTATCCATACCTGTTGAGTACTATGAGCTTGAGCAGCTAATTTCGAGAAGAATCGAATCATGCGACTCCATTGTTCTTTGATCAAACTGATTTGCTGCGTTGCTTCGAGAAGAAGTCGAACAATTTCTTCCGTACTTAATATACTCAAATCGAGCATAGCCATTTGTCCCATGGCCTTAGCCAATTCATTCTGTTCGGCTAACTGTTGTTGAAAATGTTTATTGTGAAGTTCTTCTGCTTCTTCTAGATCTTTTCTGGCTTGTTCAGCGATTTTCATGGCATTCTCAAATTTGGTATTGTCTATAACTGGCTCCGGATTTTTGCAACCACCCAAAATACAGCCGATGGTACCAACTGGATCGAATACAACACCAATGGCGAGCATAATGATATCTGTGAGAGGATCTGATTGACCACCAACAATCGTAGGCATTGATGAATCTGTAACAAGTTGCATGGCTTCGGCATACTTTTTTCTGGCATTTTCCAAAGCTACTTTAGATGCATTGTATTGACTCTGAATAGTATTGAGATTATTCTGAAGACGTTCTTGATCAAGCATTGACTGATTTTTCTTAGTTTCCATGTCATAAATAGCACCTTCGTTAGCTCCTTGCGTATTTTCACTCAACTCAATGATTTCAGCAAGGAATTCTTGTAGTAAATTGAAACGTTGCAAAGTAGAATTAGCAATATCGGCACTTTCCGTTGCTAAACGTCCGATACTATCGAGAGTTCGTGGTAGCATCGATTTAAGCATGGCATTCCCTGCTGAAGTAATCAATTTCATTGCTGTTTTGACATGTGTCGGTACTTGTTGAATGGCCAACTGAATACGATCCATAGCCGTGTGAGCACCCATCAAAGCATTGTACATATCGGATGATACTTGAGCAAGAGTGGCGCGAAAAGAATTTGGATATCTATTCGAAACCAACAATACAGGGGAATATCAGGAATTCTCTGACAGAACCCAATAACAAGTTCAAGTTTCCTATAGAATTTATACATGCTTGACAAAACAAAGATTATCTCAAGCACTTTTAAGAAAGAGTATTTTCAAAAGAAAACAATTTTTAGACTTCTAATATGACGCCGAGTATTTTTCATGGTATTCTCAATTACTCACCTAATATAACGATAGACGTAGCCTAATGGAGCTTGAAAAGGAAAATCACGTTTGCTGGCAAGAACCATAAGATTGCCCATATAGCCAACAATAATCGGAGCGGATATCATCAATGTTTCCCATTCTTTGTCGATTTCTGTCTGCTGTTTTAATTGATCGTCACGCAGATGATCAAAAATGCTATTGTCAACACGAAGTGCAACACCTAGATGAAACAGAAAAATACTTGAGAAAATTCTCCCAATCTTTTCACTCAACTAACCATCAATCGAATCTTTATTGCTGAATAAATAATCCAGAAAATCCGTATCGCTCATTTTCGGCATGGCTATAATAGCTTTGGTACTCATTCGTGCTACTTTTTCAATATAAATATCCAGAAATGGATCTTCTGTTGGATCGATAAACAGCATGTGAGACACAGAATGTGCCGAAATTGATAAACATGTTATCAACTGTATAAATAACAAATACAGACACACTACAAACAAACAATTATAAAGAGAAAACGAAAGAAATTTAAATTAGAACTTACTAGAGAGAAATTTCATCTTATTCTTTTATTAATTGCATGATGATTCGAAGCGATATTTGTACCATGATAGATCAAAAAACAGATGCTAAAGATATGATTTACTTTCTCATCAATATTTACTATTCATCATATTTTTCACCGAAGCTTAAAGACTGGAATCAAACCAATTTGATCAATGATAACATTGATGCTAAGCATCATCACAATAGGTTTTTTGCTGGTGAGAACGAAAACTTGGTGGACACAGTTGTTTTCGTTGTTGTCTTGTGTTCTCTAAAGCATATAATAGGACTCCAGTCGAATGAGAATCATTCATCTCAAAACACTGGCTTTGTATATTGGAACACGAGAAAAATGTGTAAGTAATGAATTGAAATCAGATGGAAATATTTTTTGCTGATCGTTGAGTGTAACTTAGCATCTGATGTACTATTTTTAAGTGCAATTACGGCTGCTTGGGCTGACTATGTTGCAAATAGCCTCGGTGATAGGCACTTCATCGCTAGCACATACTGTTTTCTTACCATCGGACAAATCGACGAATCCATTTAGCGATCGGTTTATTCAACGAATAGTGACGATGGATCGCAAGCAATTGTATACGATTCCTCCCATGAATGATGAACAGTTTCTTTTGGAATTAGCACAAGATATAGACACTTTCGGTGGTGAGTGTTAGATCTAACCACGTTTTGATCTGCATATTTATTTTGAAGATTCTCTGCTCCGTTTGAATGATGATGATGATTTTGATGATTCGATATTTGACGATAACTTGGATGATCAACTGGCTATGCAAGATAAAATAGATGGTAAATGGGAACATCTGATGACAGCTGGACCGCTAGTAGTCAACTATATTGCTAATCTTCTCATATTGGCTAGTAAACGAGATTTTCCCTTGTCATGATCACCATTCTTCACATTCCAGCACATTAAAAATCCGAATTCTTTTCGAGCAACTCTATCCCAAGTAGTTGGTGCCATGTATTCGGCATTACTCGGTGCTCATACGGCCATGGATAGTATTCAACTCAATGTTCAACAAATTCCTGGACATGTAAAAACAGCTCTCAAATTGGTGATTGCTGGTTCACCATTGCTCATCCAAGTCATGCTACCAAAAACACTAGAAACCATTGGTCGGATTGCTACAGAAAGTGCTGGACATACCCAAACAACTTTCAATAAATTCGTGACTTTGCAAGATCTTGTTGCTGGGTGTGGGTGTGGGTGTGGGTGTGGGTGTGGGTGTGGGTGTGGGT